AGAATAGAATAGAATAAAATAAAATAGAGTACAAAAGAATTCTTTATAGGCCAAGTGTGATCAGACACACAAGGAATTTGTCTCCCGTGCAAAAAGCTCAGTCTACATGCAGAACAACAAAGTAATCATAAGATGGGATGGCTGCCAAGGACCCTCCCCCTCCTTGCCTCTCCTCCCGGACATAACCCTAGCCAGGAGGGGTACGTTATAGCCCCTCCCTCCCGTTGCATGACTAATCTTGTATGCTGTGGCCTGGAAAAGGGGTCTGCAGGGATGGGGGCAGCAGAAGGAGCCCAGGAAATCAATAGCAATTAAGGTTGCAGAGAGGCTGCCCAGAACTGAAATGGTAGCATATGTTTACACTAAATCAAGCAATCCATCTTCATCCCAATGTAGTAACGAAGCACATGCCAATCTGGGCTTTGGGGGGGAGGGAACGGAGGAGGAGGAGGAGTTTGTTCAGGGAAGCTGCGTGCGTCTGTTGGAGGGGATCCAGGAAAAGGGGGCGGGGGTCCCTGATGCGCTGGGCTTGCTATTTATTCTTATTTATTTAATGCCTTTATTATTTTTGCAAATAATAATTTTTGAAAACAGATGTATTACGCCTCCCTCTTCCTCCTGTTTTCCGCACAACAACAACCCTACAAGGTGGTCTGGGCTGAGGAAGAGGGAGAGGCCCAAAGCCACCAGCTGGGTTTTCGTAGCTGACCTCAAACAGCTTAGAGAGGGCTGGAACGGCTTTAGATTTGGATGGGAGACCACCAGGAGATCCTAAGGCAGCAGATGAGAACAGGAAGCTGCAGCGAAGCACTTTCAGACCGCTGCCACGAAAATGGCCCCTACGCATTGCAAGCCCAAGGTTGCGGTCAGCCGAGCTTGAGCCAGCTGGACGCTGCGACGGCCAAAAAGGCCATCCTAACTTCGCAAAGAGAATTAGCGTCAATTAAGGAGCCTTGGCTTCAGGCCTACCATCCCTAAATCCCAGCCTTTTAGGATGTGGCTGTAAGAATCCCTGCATTTGCATAGGATTGGTACTGCCTATAGCAAAAAGGACAGGTAGTCCTCGGTTTAGGACCACAGTTGAGCCCGGCATTTCTATTGCTAAAGCGAGACAGTTGTTCCGTGGGTTTTGCCACATTTTATGACCGTTCTTGCCACAGTTGTTAAGTGAACCCCGGCAGGTGTTAAGTTAGTCACACGGTTGTTAAGTGAATCTGACTTCAATGAGAGAAGCAACCTAGAACTAAGGAGAAATTTCCTTACAGTGAGAACAATTAACCAGCGGAACAACCTGCCACCAGAAGTTGTGAATGCTCCAACCCTGGAAGTTTTTAAGAAGAGATTGGGCAACCATTTGTCTGAAATGGTACAGGAATTTCCTGCCTGAGCGGGGGGTGGGTGGGTGGGGTGGGGTGTTGGACTAGAAAACCTCCAAGCTCCCTTCCCACTCCGTTATCCTCAGGGGTGGGATTCTACCGGTTCACACCTATTCTCTAGAACCGGTTCTTAACATTCTAAGCAGTTCGGAGAACCGGTTGTTAGAAGAAATTACTGGACTAATCCTGTAAGGAAGGCAGGAAGGAAACATTCTGGTGTTGCTTACAGAAACCGCCTCTCCATTAACCCTTATTACATTCTTGGCAGGACTAGACTTCCTGTCTCAGGAACGTCTCTGGAGTTTTCTTTCCCTCCTTTGCTGGTACTTTGCTTGTGTGGAGTGACCATTCAAAGTTACAATGGCAGTGAAAAAAGTGACTGATGACCCTTTTTCACACTTACGACTGTTGCAGCATCCCCACAGTCATGAGAGGCCAGGCGAGGAGATGCGTGCCTCGATTGTGAGTGATGTTGAGTTGGCCACGCCCAGCCAACAACATGACCACCAAGCCACGTCCACCCAGTCACATGACCACCAAGCCACGCCCACCAACTAAGTCACGCCCACAGAGCCGGTTGTTAAAAAATTTGAATCCCACCCCTGGTTATCCTATCCTGTTGCTCGTCAAGAGGTCACTAAAGGAGATCACGTGGCCCCAGGACACCGCAACCGTCGTAAAGATGAGTCAGTTGCCAACCATCTGGATTTTGACCACGTGACCACAGGTGTGTGTGTGTGTGTGTGTGTGTGTGTTTGTGCAGCAACCATTGTGCGTAAAACAGTCACCGAGTCATTTCTTTTTTTCACTGCCATCGTAACTTGGAACGGTTGCTAAACGAACCGTTGTAAGTTCGAAGACTATTTGATGCTCTTTGCACCCTGCAAAACTGATGGCTTCCTTCTTTCCACGCCTAGCCCTGAATGAGCCGACGATCGATTATGGGTTTCAGCGCTTACAGAAGGTGATCCCCCGGCACCCAGGCGACCCCGAACGCTTACCAAAGGTAAGACACACACGTCCCCACACCCCACTCTTCCCTTCAGCCTCTCAGCGTTGCGTCGATGCGTCTAAACACCGGCTGCGTTTTCATTTCCACGCCAAACAGAAGTTTGTTCTCTGGTGGGTTTTTTTTCCTTTTGAATTTTCTGATGAGGGTGAGAGACAAACCACAGAGGAAGAAACATTTAGGAAACCTGGTTTTCTTCTCTTTCGGCTGGTTGGGTTTGTCATCGGCAGGGAGGTGCGTTGTTGTGGTTGTGGCGCACACCCAAACACTTGTGCACATACCAACACACTTATCTGCACACACATATATGCACACCATGGCAAGAATCCAGAAGGACACGCTCCTCATTACGCCTTGATGAGCCTTAAGGGACATCAGCGCCCACACACACGTACACACAGGTGTATGCACAAGCACACATTTGTGTGCACAAATATACATGCACACAAGGCAGAGGGCTCACACACGCACTATGCATCGTGCCTGGAGGAGCCTCAAGGGACATCACCACCACCCCACATACACATACACAAACAAGCACATGTGCATGCACACACAGGTGTGCGCGTACATACATTCACGCGATGCAAAGGGCCCAGAAGGTCACACTCCGCATCATGCCTTGATGAGCACTTCCACATACACACACACACATTTGTGTGTGCACAAACACACAAACACCTAGCTGCCCAAACATACATGCACCCTATGCAAAGGGCCTAGAAGGACATGCTCTGCGTCACGTCTTAACAGATAACAGATAATCAGAGTTGGAAGGGACCTTGTAGGTCATCTAGTCCAACCCCCCGCCCAAGTGGGAGACCCTACACCATTCCTGACAAATGGCAGTCCAACCTCTTCTTGAAAGTCTCAAGTGATGAAGCTCCCACAACTTCCCGGGGGCCACTTTTGTTCCATGGGTGGATTGTTCTCACTGTCAGAAAGTTTCTCCTTATTTCTAGGTTGAATCTCTCCTTGTTCAGTTTCCATCTGTTATTCCTTGTCTGGCCCTTCAGGTGCCTTGGAGAATAGCTTGACCCCCTTTCTTCTCTCTGTGGCAGCCCCTCAAATACTGGAAGGCTGCTCTCCTGTCTCCCCTGGTCCTTCTCTTCCCTAGACTAGCCAGGCCCAGTTCCTGCAACCGTTCTTCATATGTTTTAGCTTCCAGTCCCCTAATCATCCTGGTTGCTCTTCTCTGCACTTTTTCTAGCATCTCAACATCTTTTTTATAATGTGGTGAACAAAACTGAATGCCGTACTCTAGGTGTGGCCTTACTAAGGCTTTATCAAGTGGTATTAGTACCTCCCTTGATCTCAATTGTATCCCTCTGTTAATGCAACCTAGAATTGCATTGGCTTTTTTGGCTGCTGCTGCACATTGTTGGCTCCTATTTAGCTGGTTGTCCACTAAAACTCCAAGATCCCTCTCCCAGTTCCTGCTATTGAGCCTGGTTTCTCCCAGTCTACATGGGTCCTTTGGGTTTTTCTTGCCCAAGTGTAGGACTTTCCTTTTCTCTCCATTGAATTTCATTTTGTTAGATACGGCCCCGTGTTCTAGTCTGTCAAGATCCATCTGGATCTTCAGCCTATCTTCTTGGGTGTTAGCTCTTCCTGCCAGCTTAGTATCATCTGCAAATTTGGTGAGTTCCCTTTCTATTCCCCCATCTATGTCATTAATGAAGATATTGGCAAACCTCAAAGGAGGTCTCCCCCACCCCACGCATATACATACACACACACACACACACACACACACACACACACACACACACAGAGTGTAAAAGGCCCAGAAGGACCCTCGTTCCAGTTACTCCTTGAGGACCTTAAAGGGACTTCCGGGAGGGAAGTGGGATGGCGTAGAGGCCAACCAGGATTCCTCAAAGACCCGGAGGAGAACGTGGCACCCATCCACCGACAGGCTCCTGCCACAGCGACTGGGTGCCTCTCGCTCGGGCCACCGCCGTCCTTGGGAAATCCGGCTGATGCTTGTGGGCAGCGCGCAGCTGGAGGCAAGAGGGACCGCAGAAGGGGAGTGACAGCTGAAGGCAGCCGCCAAATTGGAGCCATTAATCATGGCTTGACACAGACGCAGGAGAGGCTGTTTGCCTGCATGGCTTCCCCACCACTCCTGCCTTGGGGGCTGGTGGGGCGGGGGAGGCTCAGAAGCCTCCCACTGACTCACGGTGGTCCTAACCCCCTCCCCCATCTCTCTGGTTTTTCTTTCTCCCCACCCCCATTTCAGCCCCATCAGCGAGTCTGGGGTCTCCTCCTAAGAAGGCCCTGCAGAGACTGTCAGTCCCTGGAAGAAGGACCTCTTTTTATCCAAGTTAATTGACTTTCAGGATTAGTTTTGCTGAGAGGGAGACAGGCAGGGTGGGATTTCGAGGCCTGGCTTTCTTCTCCAGGAGGGAGTTAAGGAAATACCACAATAGATGCTGCATTGGAGATGGTTCTTGAGGTAGGCAGTCTCTGTATATGGAGGCTCTTCGTCTCACCCTTGTGTTGGTCTGAATTCTTTGGGGTAGGTGAAATTTGGACAATCGGTGCATGGAGTTATTTATATCTTGGGGGAGGAGGAGGAGGAGGAGGAATTAAGGATGTGAATGAAGAATGAAGGATCCTGACTACATCCTAAGTTGCAGAGCTTGCCAAAATTTTAAAACGCACGTTTTAAGAGAAAAAAAATAAACGAATCTCCCATTTTGAGCTAACTTTTTAGAAAAGGTGATTGAGCGAAGAAAGGAAAACCCCCAGAGGAAAATAAAAATACAGAGTAGAAGGAAAGGAAGAGAAATTAAGAAACAAAATTGCAGGGACGGAAAAGATAAAAAGGGCAGCCAAACGCAGGAATATGCCCTCCTATATACGAAAATATTAGGAATATGCCCAAGTTGGGCCAATCTGGATCCAAGCCAGTTTTCCTAAAATCAATCCTCTAAATTGTAGGTTAGTTTGATGTCGAAAGCCACAACCAACTGCCGAACCACAGCCAAATTGGAAACGCTAACTTTTGATTATCAGTTGTGTGTGTGTGTGTGTGTGTGTGTGTGTGTGTGTGAGAGAGAGAGAGAGAGAGAGAGAGAGAGAGAGAGAGAGAGAAAGAGAGAAATAGAGAGGGAAGGAAGGAAGAAAAGGAAGGAAGGAGGGAGATGGTGATAGGGATGAGAGGAAGGAAGGAAAGAGGGAGGGAGGGGGAAGGAAGGAAGGAAGGAAGGAAGGAAGGAAGGAAGGAAGGAAGGAAGGAAGGAAGGAATTAATTCTCTGGCCACATCCTTCTCACCTTCTGCTTTATACCGTAAATTGTAAAAAAAAGCAGAATCGACTCATCCGGCTGGGATCTGACTCTCCTTTAGCCAAGGCTCAGAGTGGGTAGCCAGGCTGGGCTGCTCATTCATCATAGTTAAGCAGCCTGTCTCAGACACACACACACACACACACACACACACACAAACACCATAGCTCCTCAAGTGAGACTCTCAACAGTTAGAGCTATTCTGTCCGCGTGTTTGTGTGTGCGCATGCGCGCGTGTGTGTGCACGCGCACAACTTTGGAAGGATGCAAAAGAAAGAGATTTGTGCTTTTCTGACTCAGGGAAAAAAAAAACTCTTTTGCAAACTACACAACCCTTGAAACTTTCCATTCTGGCCAACACAAAACAACAACAATCTCCTCCCCTCCCCCTCCGCCCCCAAAAAACCCCCAACAACCCCTGTGTGATTGTTGTGCTTCAAAGACTATAATCAGTTGAACATTGAACCTGGAATATAGGTAGTCCTTGACTTACAACAGTTCATTTAGTGACCGTTTGAAGTTACAATGGCACTAAAACAAGCGATTGATGAGCCATTTTCACACTTACGACCATTGCAGCATTCCCCCATCATCGCGTGATCAAAATTCAGGCGCTTGGCCACCGACTGGTATCTATGACGGTCGCAGTGTCCTCGGGGTCGACCGATCCCCATCTGACAAGCAAAGTCGATGGGGGAAGCCAGATTTGCTTAATGACGCTGTTACTAACTTATCAATGGCCGTGATTCACTTAACAACGGTGGTGAGAAAAGTTGTAAAAGGAGGCAAACCTCACTTGAGAACCGTCTCGTGTAGCACTGTAAAATCTGGGCTCAATTGTAGTCATAAGTCAAGGACTGCATGTGGAATGTGCGCCTTGCGGGGTAGCGCATCGTTCAGGCAGCAAAGTCAAATTTCTAGTCCTCATGAGAAGTCAAGGTTCCTTTTGGGTACCCGACTGGGGCTTTCAACACCAGCCTATCAGAACGCACGGGCAGGGGCACACAAGTGGGTCACGCAAGGACACAAAAAAAATGGGTGGGTGGGGGGAAGGGAATGATGGAAAACTGATCCCCTTTCCCAGATCCCACTTCAGTTTCAGATAAAATATAAGTTCTTCTCGCCTTGCAACCTCCCCAAGAATTTCTGTCACTAAGCAAGGCGTTTGTTAAGTGAGTGGGACCCAACGTTATCACCTTTCTCCCCCCCCCCCCCCCCCCAAGTTCTTAAACAAATCCCTGTCCTTATTAAGTGAATTGCACAGTCGTTAAACGAATCCCTATTGACTCTGGGAGTTGAAGCCCACCTGTCTTAAACTTGCCGAGATCAAAAAGATAATCAGAGTTGGAAGGGACCTCGTAGGTCATCTAGTCCAACCCCCCGCCCAAGCAGGAGACCCTACACCATTTCTGACAGATGGGAGTCCAGTCTCTTCTTGAAAGTCTCAAGTGATGAAGCTCCCACAACTTCCTGAGGGCAACTTCTGTTCCATGGGTTGATTGTTCTCACTGTCAGAAAGTTTCTCCTTATTTCCAAATTAAATCTCTCCTTGTTCAGTTTCCATCCATTATTCCTTGTCTGGCCTTTGCGGGCTTTGGGAAATAGCTTGACCCCCTTCCTCCTCTCTGGAGCAGCCCCTCAAATATTGGAAGATGCTCTCCTGTCTCCCCTGGTCCTTCTCTTCCCTAGACTAGCAAGGCCCAGTTCCTGCAACCGTTCTTCGTATGTTTTAGCCTCCAATCATCCCCCAATCATCCTGGTTGCTCTTCTCTGCCCTTTTTCTAGAGCCTCAACCTCTTTTTTATAATGTGGTAACCAAAACTGGATGCAGGACTCTAGGTGTGTGGTCTTACTAAGGGTTTACAGAGTGTTATTAGGACTTCCCTTGATCAAAAAGCAAGAGAGCCTCTCCATCCCTGCTCCCCCTTGCCACCCCAAAAGTCTGACTCTTGAGACGTTGTGGGGTGCAGGGTGAGTGGCAAACTTGTGGGGGCGAGGGGCGCAGGGGGGGGGAGATTGCCTTGCTGCTGTTTCCTTCCCCAATCTCTCCTCCCCGGACAGTCTCTGCCCAGAGTTAAACCAACTGTTTTTGTGACGCCCACCTTCACGGCGAGGGGCTGGGGACTCGGTGTGTGCCGAAAACAGCTGGAGGCCACCACCACCCCCTCCCCCCTCCCTCCTCCATTACGGTATCGATCGGCGAGAGATTGCCGAAGACAGAAGAGCAAGTGGCCGTGATTGTTGGCACTTAGCTTGACAGCTATCCAATAGCCTTGAGATCCTGATGTATGGTCCGGAGAACTGCCCGGTTGGTCGTCTCTCTCGGTTGTCGGGAAGCTGGGAGAAGGAAAAGTGGAGCGGGGAAGGGGGTGGGGGTTGGGGGGTGGGGGGTTTCAGGAACGAAACCTTTCCAACCCGTGCCAGGGATTGGCCAGTGATGGCGTTCCTTCTCCCAAACAGGGAGTCCTCGGCATACAGCCATCTGTTTAGCGACAGAGTTATGACAACCCCGAAAAAAGGAGTCACTCAAGTGGCTGTCCCAGAGGTGCTTTTATTTCAAGAGGCAACTGGACTTTCTGGTTTTTTGTTTTTTCTTTGAAGAAGTTTCGCTTCTCATCCAAGAAGCTTCTTCAGTTCTGGATGGTGGGGGATGGAAGGATTTCTACTCCTCGCAGACAGCTGGTTATTTGCATCCTTTTGAGAGAGCTGTTGAGGACGCTTGGAGGTTTATCTGTGTCCTTGGGGGGTTCACCTGAGTGGTGCAAATGGGTGTGGAGCCTTCTTGGAACTGCTGAAAGGACGATGTTGTAGACTGGAAGTAGATGATGTAGTATCCCTGAGAGAGAGCTGTTCAATTTGGACATAGATGGCCTCTTTTTCAAACCAGAGGTCCCTCTGTCCAACATGTGGAGTTTATTGTCTTCCAAAGAGTGACCTGTGTCTTTTAAATGCAGGTGGATTGCTGACTTTTGTCCTGAGGGCTTTGTTCTCCTGTGTTGTGCTACGGCGTTTGTGAAATGGTTGTTTTGTTACTCCGCCAATCTTCTGTCTACGACCCAGTCCTTTCAGCAGTTCCAAGATGGCTCTAGACCCATTTGCACCACTCAGGTGATACCCTGAGGGCACAGATGGTGGCCTCAACGACTTTCTAAAAGGATGCAAATGATCAGCTGTCTGCAAGGATCAGAAATCCTTCCATTCCCCGTCATTCAGTCAGAGCTGAAGAAGCTCCATGGGATGAGAAGCGAAACGTCTTCAAAAACAAAACAAAACAAGGAAGTCCAGTTGTCTCTTGAATAAAAGCATCTTTGGGACAGCCACGCCCTGGGTGACTGAGAATCTCCATAGACACACAATTGCTCCACACACTTCGCAACTAACGTGGCATCCCCCAGGGTCACCTGATCAAAATTTGGGCACTTGGCAACCGGCATGTTACAGCGTCTCGGAGGGTCGTGCGATTGCTATTTGCAACCTTCCCAGGCGGCTTGCGACAAGCAAAGTCATGCAGGAAGCCAGATTCACTTAATGACTTCAAAAGGTTCTCTAAATGAATGATTGTCAGTCGAGGACTACCTTTATCTGCAATTAGAACCTGGTTTTGCCACAGCTCAATGATAATCTATCTATCCCTGTCGGTCTGTTTGTCCATGCACCCACTCACCCACCTCTATCCATCTATTAATTATCCATCTATCCATATCTATCTATCTATCTATCTATCTATCTATCTATCTAACAATCTATCTCTATCTATCTATCTATCTATCTATCTATCTATCTATCTATTTGTCTATGTCTCT